ATAGGAACCCAGCAAAGGCATTTGCCTATAGAGGCTGTGCTCTGTGGACTTTTAGCCAAAGAAAGAATACAAGATTGGAGGTGCAGTTTTCATTTACAAAAGGGGAGTGGAGTGCTGGCTTCTCTACCAGTGTTACCACAGTGTGATTATGGCTTCCAAGACTTGCACAGGATAGGAAAATCGGGGCTAGTTGGAGACATAAAGCAATATCAGTTGCATCTATCCTGTACAGAGTTTGGTCGCTCTCCTTGCTGCCCTGGTGCGCGTGCACGTTTCAGTGTCACCATGAAACAGGAGTGCTGCAGCAGAGGGAAAAGGGGGAGAACATCTATCTCCTAAAAAAGGGACCCTGTTTACTCTGCTTTGAAAGCAGGTTGCCAGTTAAACTGAAGTGACGGTTGCTAAGCTGTACGGAGTGGCTGGTATGTTAATTATATAGACACTGTCTATACACTGCCTCATTAGATATTGGGTCTAGTGGGATCACTGAAGTAAAGGGTCATCTTTGTGCTCTCATCCTGGGGCCCTGCAGGCTAGAAAACTTGGAAACACTGGGGAGCTGATGGGAAAATGAACCTGCACTGCAGGTTCACAGCTGTGCCTGAAGGCAAGCGCTTCTTCCTGTGTGCCGCATGTTGAAATGATCCTGCTGCGCTTCCACGGCGCCTTGCAAAGCTCTCCTCTGGGAGCCAGGCTTTCTAAGAGCGGGACGCAGCAGAAGAACGCTGTCAACTTTATTTTACAGAGAGAGCTGAATAATTTACTCAGGGTCAAACAAAGGGCTTACCCTGGATGCCTGGACCATATCTTGATCAGTCATTCCTTTCAGAGGTTTCTTTTTACTGTGGAGTCTCTCTCGCCTGACCTGTGCGAGTCGTCGGGCTGGGAAGTTCTGCTGCCCATCGATCTTTGCCTCCAGCTACGCAGACACAAATGGAGATACTACAGGTCAGATTATGCAGTCCTTCTCAAAACACCTCAAGAAAAAGGTTCAGTCAGAGTCCAAAGGTAGGAATTGTGTTTTATAGACTGACTGCTAAAAGTGTATTGTTGGGACTGCTTAGGAAGCACCCTCAGGCAATACTGCACCAAAAGCCAGTGGGAAGAGCTTTCACGAGCTATTCTGTGGCTTCAACCTGCCTTTCTGTTTCAAAGCTACGCTGTGTAAACTGTCCTAGATAACTCTTCTGTCCTTCATAAAAGCCTCTTTCTTGTGTCTAACTATAGGCAAACAGCTGCCTTCTGCTTGCCTACTTTCAAGAATGTATCTTATTTTCCTATGGGATGGAGGCCTTCACTAGTTATCACCTGTAAAATGAATCCTGGCTGGAAGCTGCAAGGAGTGTTGTCTTTCTGCTCAGCCTTTGTGGGATGGATTGAACTGCGTGGGCAAAGCCCGTGCCAAACTGCACAAGCAAACGCAGTGCACAACAGGCAGAAACACCTCGTCTGTCTACCCAGAGACAGAGAAGGATTACAAACTAAGTAATGTTTAACTGTGTCCCACTGATGCAGGCAGAAACAGAAATACCACGTTCCTGAAGCAGGCAACTGCTAACCAGACCGAAACCCTCTTTTTAACTTGATTCCATCCACAAACATTGTGACTGAGATACATAACAAGCCCTAGTTGTGCGGCTGTTTGAGCATACGAGCTATATCTTAGTGCATTAACTGCTGAAATGTGGGACGAAGTGCCTGCCCTTGCCCCATACCATGCCACAAGCTACCCAAAGACAAGGTTGTTTCCACGTAGCATTTCTCTCTGCGCCCTCTCCACCTGACACTGTCCTTCTCTCAGCCACCACGGGCTGGTCTCCAATTTTCCAAAGCACCCAATTCCCACTGCGCCCTTCTGGCCAAGGTTGGAGGTGGAGGGTGGTTGGGACAGTGGAGAGCAGGAACCACAGGAGAGCCTGGTGTGGTAGTAGGTGTGTGATGCTGCAGAGTATCTTTGGTGATCTGCATCTGCCATCAGTGATGAGCTTGTGCCTTGAGCTTGTTGTGGCTTGTTAGCCACCTAGCTACAACACCTAGATCTGTTTTCTTTCATAATCTAAAGCAAAGCAAAAAAAAAAATTCACCTATGTATGTAAACTTCTGGTTGGAGAGAACACGGTGTTACCTGGCCCGCTGGGAATGCGGTGTGTGGGTTGGAAGGCAGGGCTGGGGCCTGGGGAAAGATAATGCGACTGCCATCTCCCTCTCAGCCTGCACAGGAGAAACCCAGGGGGATACTCTGAAATGCTTGAAGGGAGCTGCTGCTTCCCAGCTAGTTAGCCCTGAGTTGATCTCGTTCCCTCACCAGGCTCAAGGACATGCTACACCACAGAGCTGTGCATTTTGCCTGGCTTTCCTAAGGCTGGTTGCTCGCTGGACCATACAGGAAGGATGAGCAGGGGCGCTGAAAGGTATTCGTGAAAATAGCTTTTTCAGTAAGGCAAAATCTGAGGGGAGGTTTCTCTGACTTCTTGATACTCCTTTCTTTATCTTAAAAACAAAGTGTTCACTGACTAAACGAAATTGAGCCCTGTCTCCTCCTTTCATAGTGAGAGGAGAGGGGGAGAAGAGGACAAGGGCAAAGAATGCCCGAGTGCTTTGGAGTGAAAACACGGAGTTCGGGAATCAGAGCAGAGCCATTGTAAAAATAGCTCCTCATTTGGATCCTGTGATGATATCGGATGTGCATTTACCTCTGGTTGAGTCTGAGAGATCTCATTTCTTGACAAGGCTCTTCCTCCCGCTCTTGGCTGTACGGCCACGTAAACAACACATGGTACAAACAGCATCACTGGCCCTGCCAAAGTTTTGTAATACGTGCAAGCGAACCTCAAACCGAGCCACCTGTCCTGGGACAACTTCCTGAGCTGTTACAGTTCATCATCCTTGTATTATTATAACATGCTGATGGCATACAATAAATCTATGTGGTCAGATAAGGCACTCCTCCTCCCCTGAGGAGCTTCCCCTCCAAAGAAGATGAGTGAACACAAGCAACCCTATGAGGCAGCTTACGTGACCCTCCGTGGTTGCCTGGAGAGGCAGAATTGGGAATATGTTTTCGGAGCAGATTTTCTCTGTGGTTAGCCTGGGAGAAATGTGGTGACTTATGTTTTGCTGTGGCCAGAGAAACAGCTGAGGCCTGTCCTATGTAAGAGGGCGCCTGCGTGCTCTCTGAACAGCCTGTGTGCTTGTTAGCCTAATGACATGACCAATGGTTGTTTAATTAATGAGGACCCATTAATTTTTCCTGTAGGTTAGTTGGCTGACTACTAATTTCCTGTTGCAATGGAGCCCTTCTTGCTGTATGGCCTAAAGGTCTTTCCAGGATCCAGTTCTTTTAACTTGTTTAGTTTGCAAAAGTTTAGCCACTCCAGATTCTTCTTCCTCACACGCGCCTGGGAGCTCGGACTCCTCCGTGCGAGGCCTCACAAGCGGCTGCTTTCTCCAAGCACTTCAAAGCAACTGGCGCTGGAGTTGGCACAGCGCTGCAGCCTCACCCAAATGCAGGAGCGCAGACCGCTCCAGAAGTTGCACTGGGGAAGCCAGTGGATCTTCTTGTCGCTTCTTCCCCAGGCCTGAACTGAGCTGTATGCACCTCATGCCACTGCATCACGGTGCCCTTCGTTATGTAAGTATCAACAGGCAGTGCGAGGTGAAGATATGATGACACAGTTAAAGTATCTCCTAGACAGCCAGGGCTTGAGGCTGCTATATCAAGCAGGTCTCTGACCTTGGGAAAGGTGCTGGCCTCTCTCTGACTTGCACAACCAGGATTTTTGGAGGACGAAGCGATCTCCAACAAACCATTTCAACGGCAGCAGAGAAAAGGCTCTGGGGAAGCATGACTTACAAAATTACCTACAATTTGAATAGAATGATTTACACAAATGTTACAGACACATGATTCTTGCTATGCTTGCTCACATTTCTATGTAAGGCACCAGGAGGTTATAATTTGACTGAATATAGTAATACTGAATAAGATGTGAAAAGAAAATGGCAGCTGCAGTACCAAAGATGTGCTGAGGCTGATCTTGTGCTGCGGTTCACCTCTTGTTCTTATGGGTAATAAAGAGATTTCTGAAAATCTGGGAGCTTGCTTTATCCCCGGATTTCCCAGGCTTGTTCTGTAAATTCAGATCTGCACTAAGCACTCTGACCAAGAATACAAGCATCTAACATGGGAATCACATTGGATTTAGAGACATTGAGTAAAATCTTTAATCTGCAACAGTCTCCTGCTGTCACATCACACTGGAGGCATTCAGGCATCCACAGATGCCAAAGCTTGTGGTCTTCCATGGAAGTTTCCTAGGTGAGTAGCGATCCACGAGCACTTGCTGATACTATCTGCTCCTTAGCCTGCCAAGTGTTTGCAGGTGGTCCATTCTGCAGGACAAAGACACAGCCCTCGCAGCTGATTCAAAGCAGGAACGAACAAGTGTCACTGCTGTTATACCCACCTTTTGGGGGAGGGCCCAACACCAGAATGGGGCAGCTCCAGCTGATCCCTGATGGATTCACATCCACATGTCCTGCCTCTGAAGAAGGCACAGCTTGCACAAGGCCATCCTGTAAGTTTGTTGGGGATTTGGATGGGATGGAGGAGTGTCCCATCCCCATTTTCTCTTGCTGAGCTTTCCCATTGTGCAGAATAATAATAATAATAACAGGGCTGGAGAGAAGAGAAGACGGGAGCACGAGTAACAGCTAGGGTGCCAGTGGAAGGCAGGAATGCTGTAAGCCTTCGCGAGCAGACAGGGAACCCGAATTTGGATTTCCTGAAGCCCATGTGAATTTGCCAAATACTAACTTGTTACATAAACTAGTTACCCTTTCCAAAGGAAAGAATGACTCCCTCATCTATTTTTGTAGTAGAGCACTCTTGTTTCTTCCTCCAGGATTCAGGGCTTTGACTCTCATGGCTGGTTACACCAACCAGTCTCGAAGGCTGACAGGATTTTCTTCGTTCCCCTTTTTTTCCCAGTGCCGAGGAGATCTTGCCTGGCTTCTTCCCTGGATCCTGGGAAGCTCGGGAACAGATGGTGTAATACAAATTCAACAGGTAAGAATATCAAATGATTTACTTAGTGGAAATTAGGTGGACCAATCGGGCTGTCTTTAAAAGATGGGGAGAGCCTTACTCTGCCTCCATCTCCAGCGATGACAGTGTGTGTATGCAGAAGCCCATGGAGTTCCCTGCTCGGCGCAGTGAGTAAGATGCATTTCACAATTAGCACGGAGCTGACACAAGCGAAGTGACGCTACCCAGAAACCTGGCCCTGGCATTCCAATCCCATACAGCAGCAGCACGAACAGAACTAGCCACTACCCCCGGAAAACATGTTTCTCTATAGGTGTGTGCAAAGATTGCCGTTCAGGAAAATAGCACGGAATTAACCATGAAGAGAACATTTAATTTCCACATAGAAATTTCTGGAGATGGCAGTGTTGAGGTTATGATGACTAGGCATTTTCAGTCAGAACTTTGCAAGGCTGCTATCTCGGTGCAGCTGCATTTGTGAATCGGCTAACACATCCAGTCTGCACCCAGCCCTGAAATAGGGAAGTATCATGTCTGGCCTTTCCCTTTCTGATATATTGTGTCTATGCACAGCCTCTCTTTAGAGGTATAAAGAGCAAAGCACGCACTTTCCTTGGGGAGACATATATATATATATATATATATATATATATATATATAAAACTTTTCAGGTCAAATCCAGCCATTCTAGTACTGACAGAGGCTTGTTTCCAATCCCAATAACAGTTTAGTGATAGCTTTTGCTAAAGGTACCTTTAGGTGTCTGTGAATTCCTTGCAGGAAATGTCCCATGGCTGAACTAGGAAGAAGAGTATAGCTTGGGTGGAAAGAGTATCGTTATATTTTTTGAAAAACGTGAAGGAATCGACACAAGTCAGGCACTAGTGTTCACCAGTACTGTGAATGTATGGATCTAGGGCCCTATACAGGTTTGCAGCGGGCTATTTATCCAGGCTCCTCCTTCACAAGTGCCCAGCACCCTTTCACGCCGACATTAGGACCTTCGGGGTGGATCTAGGGGCTCCAGCTCAAGCTACCAGCGCTGCCGCCACGGCCGTGACTCCCACGGCCCGCAGCGCCGCGCGGACACCGCGCTGCCGGGCACAGCCCGCCTCAGCCGGCGCCACGCTCCTCCTTCCCACGTCTCCCCGTGGCTCCCATTCCAAGCGGACCCGTGTCCCGCGGGCTTTGAGTCACCGCGCGGGTGCCTCACGGGCCGCGCCGCCTCCCCCTCCCCTCGCGCCCAACGGTCGCCGCCGCACGGACCTCACGGGCCTCACGTCCCGCTGCACCCGCTGCCGCGCGCCCCGCCCCCTCGCTCCCATTGGCGGAGGCGCGCGGCGCACGGGCTCGGCACGCGGCGGTGCAGCCAATGGGAGCGGCGTGGGGGCGGGGTCCCGGCGCGCGCGGCGGCGCGGGGGGCGGCCGCGGGCGGTAAACAGGCGCGCGGGCGCGGGCGGCGCGTACGGCGCGGAGCGGAGCCGAGCGGGGCCGAGCGGGGCCGGGCCGCGGTGAGCCAGGCTGCGGGGCGCGATAGCGGCGGCTGCGCTGCCCCGACGAGGGGCCGGGGCTCGGGTATCGCTGGCCGGGGAGGAGGCGCCGGCACCGCGCGGGGTCCGTCACCTGGAGACGTGTGAGGGGGTGGCGGGGCAATGGCGGCGGCCCCCGGGCCCGCGCGTCCGTTAAACGGTCGCTTTCGCGTATCAACGGCCGCTGGAGCGCGCTCGGGGCCGGAGCATTGCGAGGCTCCTCCGGATCATCCCTCTCCTCTGAGCTGTGGCCTGTGACCGGGGAAATAATCTAGTTAGTAGGCCAGCTGGCAGATTTGCAGGCTCTTTCTTGCGAGGCGGTCGGAAATAAGCGCATGGGTGCGGGGAAACGCGCACCGAGCAAGCTAATACCCGGTAGCTGCGCGCAGAGATGCTCGGATCCCAGAATGTTCCATTCACGGCTACTGAATCATAACTTCTGCAGAGCTGCGCCTTGCTTCAGGCTGTTCCGGACCCGGGTGGACGGGGTCGGATTGCCCCCAGCTACAGCAAAACTCCCTCCTTTTGTGGTGTGAAAAACCAAACATTGCAGCCAGCTTTATGAAAAGCGAGTTTGGAAGGTGCTGGTGACAGAAATGAGGCAGTCTGGCTTATTTAGCGTTAAAGCAAAGAAAAATGGGCATGTAAAAGATTAATATGCTTTCAGTGACATTTTTTTTTAAAGAGGAAAAATGCACTAAATTATTATAAATTATTAATAATAAGCGCTCAATTAAAAAACAAAAAACAACAATAAATACCAATCAGATCCCAAAAGCTAAAAATTTGCTTTCTTTTAGTAATTTCTTTATCCTATTTCTTGTACCAGTAGAAAGAACAGTTTAGCTGTAGTTCTTTTTCTTGCCAATCTGCATGCTCTTATACCAGATTTATTCTTGGATTTTGTACTTCAATGTTGGTTAACAATAACCTTGGTAACCTTGAATAAGTTCTGCTTATACTAAACTGTTGTGCATTGTCCGGGCTTAATGTCACCCGGCGGGGGGAGAATAGGTGACATGCAGTGTTTTAATGATCTCTTTTAAAAATAAAGTGATGTGATAAGTGGAGGAAAAGGTCAGAAGATGTGGAGAATTCCTTTCCCTTTTTACCATTGGAGCTTTGGTCACCTTGCTTCCTTGCTGTCAAGGAGAACGAGTTCCATGCCATGCGAGTGAAAAGTGCTCGCTTCACTTGTGATATTTAGCGCAGGTTAATAATAGCTGGTGTTGAATCTGTGCAGCAAGAACACGTTGTTGTTGTTGTTGTTGTTGTTTTGGCTTCCAGTCCTCCACTGCTCCTTTTATAGGAAAGTGATAGTCTGTTTTTCTTTTTTCCACCCCCAGCACCCCTCCTTTTTTTTATTTCCATGTTACATTAGAGAAATAATGTCTCTTTTTTTTTTCCATTTAGTCTATCAGAGTGTTTGATATAGCTTGCATTGTTCAGCTAACTTGCTAAATACGTCTCAATGCTAAATACATCTCATGCTAAATAAATATGTCTCAGAATGCAGCTTGATGATGCATGGATGGATTTTTTTTTTCTTGTATATTCCTTAAATCCTTGTGTGGTGATGGATGAACAGCGGTGCTCTGAGGCAAGTCTGCAGCGATATTTAGAAATCGTAAGATTTGCACTTCTGTAGGCCTCCTGGCTTTTTCAGTCCAAAATTGTTTAAGAGGAGGATGTGGAAGAGGCCTTTTGACTTATTGCACTGTTGATTCTGAGGTAAAGCACTCTGAAAAATAGAGGTTGTTTCCTAACTTGTTTCACAAAAGTGCTTGCAGCTCTATGTGTTTGAGTGCCTGCTTTTCCTCAGGATCTGAAGAGAGGTAGCTATTTTTTTGGGACCCCAAATGCAAGTTAACAGCGGAGCACAGCAGTTTGAGGGGCGCAGGGGAATGTGGAGTGTTTGCCCACTCAGCAGTGGAAGCTCATGTTATTGACACAGGCCTATCTTTAGATTCGAAGATGTCCTCCACGTTTAAGTAGATGCTGCTGGTTGCGTGGCTGTGTAGTGCTGTGTGGTGATTTTTTTTTTTTTTTTTTAATTTTTTTTTCTCCTTTTTCTCCTCCTCCTGAGGTTACAGGAGGTGTCAAAGTTAAACCAATCTAAGCTGGTGAGCAAAACCAAGAAATAACAGGGTATACAAGTCTTGTCCTATCTTACCAAAGCTGTATGCATTTTTAATGGCTTGTGTGTTTTGTCGGTAAGTAGAAATTGTAGATTTCTACTGTAGAAATTGTCTAAATGAAAGATAACAAAGCACGAGGAATTTGAGATCTGAACTGTTATGTGTCCTTTTTAACATAGGAAATACAGCTAGCTACTCTGAAAAACAGAGCTGACTCCTTTATGGAGTTGGCTTCTGGAAATGTTAAAACTTTGTATGTCAGCCTGTCCACACTTGGAAACGAATAGAGTAAAAACTGTTTTGTCCTGGAAGCTGCTTACAGGCTGTGTATTTTCCTTATAGCTTTTCTATATAAAAATGTCCAGTAGGATGATCTGCTTGTGGTGGAACTAATCCTGGGCTGTTTTGTGTGGTTAAGCATAAAGTCTTCAGCTACACTTACAGTGTATTGTGAGAATTTCTCGGTTTCTTCTGGTTTTGTGTGTAGATTAGATCTGTATTTAGCCTTTATTTACTTAGCCTTTATGTGTTTAGCCTATATCTTTACTTACTGCTATTCAGGTCTTTTTAACCTATCGCACGCTTTGGTTTTCTGCCTGTGCTGAGGACATGTGCTGTATAAAAGGCCTTTATTCTGAAACCTTCTAGCTCCTCTGCTGAGCCATGCTGTTTAGGAGCATTAAGTGCTTGTCTTGAATACTTTGACAATACTGAACAAAGAGGTTAATCTGGACTGGGGAAGAAGTGGAAGGAAGAATGGTTGGACAGTAAGCTGTGAGTGAAACAAGTGCCTCTTTTAGAGAACTTTTCTAAAAGAGCTATGCATAGAATTAAGTATTCAATTTTATATAACGTAGCAAAGCTTTTTTGAATATGGCCACTTAGAAGTCTGGGATTTCCAAAGCTACCTAGTTATGTTGTGTAAAGCTTTGGTACTCTTAAAGAACAATGTTTAGACTCTGTGTTGTGTTGAATGAATTACAGAACATAGAGAGAACATAAATAACTGTAGACTGATTCTATATAAGGTATGACATTTTGCAAATTAGACTGCATGGTGATTATGAAAAAAGAGTAGTGAGCTTTATATACCCTATGTATGATGAGCAGGAGCCGAAGCAAAGATTTGTGACAGAGCTGCAATATAGGAACCACAGACTCCCATAAGTGTTCTCTTAAGCACCATGGATTCTAGTTCTACAACCTACCTCAATCTTTGGCTCGTTGAAATAGTCCTTTTTGTCTATGGTTATGTCCCCTTCTTATATTCTATTTTTCGTGCCCTTGCAGGAGGGATCTTGGCACAGCCAGAGTGTGAAGGCTCTAGCAGCTAGGGCACAAATGTGCTAGAGAG